TAACAACAACGACTGCGCCCTTGCCAATATATAACCACCGCCCCTGAACGCTGACCCCTAGATCTTAGCAGCGCATCTAACCCCTGCCTCTAACCCCTATCCCTCACCCTGTCCCAAGCCCCTGACCGTAGCAATGTTACGCTGCTAACCGCATCGCTAACCCGGGTACCTCTGCACCTATCCGAACCCCTGTGTCTTAAGCATGACCCTACCCTGAACTGTAGCAACTCTAGCCGTACGCATACCGCTCGCCATACCCCTAACCATAACCCGAGGCATAGTCATAACTATAGCCCTGATCGTATGCATCACACCACCACCATGCCAACACCGTGCCACTATCACCGTGCCACCACTACTACACCACCACCACTACTACACCACCACCACACCACCACCACACTACCACCACCGTGCCACTATCACCGTGCCACCACTACCATGCCACCACTACTACACCACCACCACACCACCACCACACTACTACCACCGTGCCACTATCACCGTGCCACCACTAGTCCACCATCACCACAACGCCGCCACCACCACCACACCACCACCATACTACCACCACCGTGCCACCACTACCATGCCACCACTACTACACCACCACCACGCCACCGTCAGCTGTTGCGTTTACAATTCGTTGCGTTTTTAAGCCAAAAAAAAACCCTGCAAAGTCTCAGTTTCTGCGGAGTCTCCCCGCCTGCTGCTGCTGCCACCACCGTCGCTGCTGCTGCTGCCACCACCACCGCTGTCGCTGCTGCTACCACCACCGCTGTCGCTGCTAACACCACCACCGCTGTCGCTGCTACCACCACCACCGCTGTCGCTGCTGCTACCACCACCGCCGCTGTCGCTGCTGCTGTGGTCACTCGGCGTGGGACAGCAGGGCAGCGGGCAGAGAGAGAGAGAGACAGGGGGGAGACGTCCGGAGGATTTGCAGAACCCGCGAGCTCGCCGGAGGTTCCCGGTTGTTCCGAGCATCGATCTCGCGGTTGAAGTTGCGGTCTGGGATTTGAGGCTGGGGTTTGGGATCGGGGGAGCGAGCGTTCGTTCGGGTTTCGAGGTGGCTTCTGAGCGTCGCGATTAGCTTTCGGGATTTGAGGAATAGATTGCAATGTCGTGTATGTGCGGTGAGTTCGACTGAGTCGCAGACGTAGACATGGAGGCAACACATTTATTCAACTCCAACACACGGGGTAACTTTCCCCCTTAACAGAATGACAACCTGTGGTGACGACCACCAGGCTAGCTACACTAGTTACCACGTGACTGATGTAGTTAACCGGGTGGTGACCACCAGGCTAGCTACACTAGTTACCACGTGACTGGTGCAGCTAGTCACGTGGTGACCACCAGGCTAGCTACACTAGTTACTAGTGTAGTTACTACACTAGTAACTACACTAGTAACTACACTACACTAGTAACTACACTAGTTACCACGTGACTGGTGTAGTTAACCGGGTGGTGACCACTAGGCTAGCTACACTAGTTACTACACTACACTAGTAACTACATTAGTAACTACACTACACTAGTTACTACACTAGTAACTACACTACACTAGTAACTACACTACACTAGTAACTACGCTAGTTACCACGTGACTAGCTACTACGGACCGGGACCAACAGCTCGGCTCCAGGTCCACGTGTTGGAGACTCGTTGAACGGAGAACGTAGACGAAGAGTTTCTTCCAGGATTAACGTTTTTGTGGCTTCTCTACGTGCCATGAAAAAGGGCCATTGCCCGAAACGTCGCCTGTTATATGAAGTTTTTTTTAAGGCCACAGTTTGTGTTTGTGCTTCACTGCCAAAGGCAGCAGCGTCACCAACTTCGTTTGTTAATTTCTGGATTGGCAACTCTTGAGATTGCTTGCCATGGTTGGTGGGAGGGCATTAGGATTACGGGATGCGATTTTTAGGATTGCGATAGGGGGTTCACGGTTAGGCTTAGAGTTTTTTTTTTTTATTCGGAACTTGGGGATTCCTGCTTGGGGTTATGGTAAGGCGATTGAGAATTGTCATTGGCATTATAAGGGTCAGTGATTGGGGGTTTGGGGGCTGTGGGATTTATGGGTTTGGGATTAATAATTTGGTTTGAAGGCCTCTGGTGAGTTTGCGTGGGGGTCGATGTTTAGGATTGACCTTTGCGGGTTCGAGATTTTTGCGGCTTTTTTTTATGACGGTTGTGTGGGTTTGAGGTTTTGAGATTGGGGTTTGGAATCACAGTGGTGGAGGTTGAGCATTGGGCTCGGCATTGGGGTACCGTAAATGAGCGGTTAGGTGTTGAGATTTGAGATACGGGATTAGTGCAGCGAGTCAAGGATTGATATTGGCATTAGCTCATTTTAATTGGGATTAGGCGGCTGAGAAATTTCCACGTCGTAATAAGTCACTTAATTGGGCTATCATTTGTGATGACCAGGTCGCTTCTAACAAAAAAAAGTTATGGAGCTGAGTGGGCCTTAGCTGGTAAAATTAAAAGAATTAAAGGTTAAATTTCGATTTGAAGCTTTCGTGACTGCAGGGATTGATCTTCTTGGTTCTTTCGGTAAAGTCACGTAGAAGGGAAATAATAAAATAATAAAAATAAAACTTTATAAAATACAATTCTCACGACGTTTCGGCCACAACGCAAGCAGCCGTCCTCAGGTGGAGAACAGGGCTGTCGGGGAGACAGCGTCAGAATGTCTTTCCGACAGACCTGTTCTTCACCTGAGGACGGCTGCTTGCGTTGTGGCCGAAACGTCGTGAGAATTGTATTATTTAATGTTTTATTTTTATTATTTTATTATTTCCCTTCTACGTGACTTTACCGAAAGAACCAAGAAGATGAGTTAAAGGTTAATTAGTTTTTTGAGATCAGTATTTAGGGTTTCTGGCGACCTGTCCACAATTGAGAGCCCATTGAAGTGGCTCATCATCATCGTGCGGGAATTTATAGCAGCCAAATACTCCGAACGCGCGGCGGATCTAAATGTAGAAGAAAAACCTGAGAAACCGTAGAAAAATCCACGCGACCACGGGGAGAGAGAGAAACGCCAACTCTCAATATGCACAGGTATCAGGGCTGGGTTCAAACCCACGACCTCCTGTATAGCGGGCGAGGTTAACATCTCTTAGCTAATGCAGCGACTCGATGGGATTGTGGTTGAGAATGGCGGCGGTGGAAGTGGTGGCAGTGGCGGTAGTGGTGGTGCTAGCGGTAGTGGTGGCAGTGAGGGTAGTGGTGGTGGTGGCGGTGGTGCTAGCGGTCGTGGTGGCGGTGGTGGTAGTGGTGGCGGTGGTGGTGGTAGTGGCGGTGGTGGTGGTAGAGGTCGTGGTGGCAGTGGTGGTAGTGGTGGTGCTAGCAGTCGTGGTGGCAGTGACAGTAGTGGTAGAGGTTGTGGTGGCAGTGGTGGTAGTGGTGGCAGTGGTGGTATTGGTGGCGGTGGTGGTAGAGGTCGTTGTGGCAGTGACGGTAGTGGTAGAGGTTGTGGTGGCGGTGGCGGTAGTGGTGGCAGTGACGGTAGTGGTGGTGGTAGTGGTAGAGATTGTGGTGGCAGTGGCAGTAGTGGTGGCAGTGGTGGTGGTAGTGGTAGAGGTCGTGGTGGCGGTAGAGGTGGCAGTGGTGGCGGTAGTGGTGGCGGTGGTGGTCGTGGTGGTTGTTATGGTGGCGGTAGTGGTGGCAGTGGTGGTGGCGGTGGCAGTAGTGGTGGCAGTGGTGGCGATGGTGGCAGTAGCGGTGATGGCGGTAGTGGTAGAGGTGGCAGTAGTGGTGGCAGTAGTGGTGGCGGTAGCGGTGGCAGTAGTGGCAGTAGTGGCGGTTAGTGGTGGCAGTGGTGGTGGTGGTAGTGAGAGAACGAGGGGGGTAGTGGCTGTGGCTGGGTTGTTGGAGGGGCAGTGGGTGGATGGGTGGGGAGGAGGGGGAGCACCCAAAGAGGCATTTGCCACCGCGCTTTCCCTGACGGCGATCAACAAATCATCCCACTCGGGGCCGAGAGGAACCCAGAAGAAGGAGAGAGAGAGAGAGAGAAAAAAAACCCTAAAACACCCCTCCGTCTAAAAATAACGACGCCCTCTTGAATTCCTCCCCATCACCCCCCCCTCCCCCCCCGGTGCCTTTCGTTGTCGTTGTTCGAGGTCTCAATGTCTGTGAACAACTCCCTCGGAAAAGATCCCCCGAGTTCGAAATCCCAGAGCTTTGGGTGCCCGCAGAAGCAAGTTCAGTTGGGGGGGGGGGGGTTTGGGTCCGGTATGCTCGATGTGGTGTGCCGGGCTGACTGATTATCATCATCTTCTTCATGTCATTGTGTCTGATTCAAACAAGTACCAATGTCTACACACACCGCACTAACACACACACACACATGTACAGCAGTACATACACCACTATACACACACACACACCCCACTAACACGCACACACACATGCACACCAATACATACACCACTATACACACACACACCGCCTCACACACACACACATACACCGCCTCACACACACACCGCACTAACACACACACACCCTCACACACACACACACCGCCACACACACACACACCCTCACACACACACCGCCTCACGTTCACACACACACACACTGCCTCACACACACCCTCACACACACACCCTCACACACACACCACCACACACACACCCTCACACACACACACCCTCACACACACCCACTACTGTATTGTGAATGCTCAATAGAATTGCCTCTGGCTCTGGGTTTAGCTTTACTAGGGGAACTAAAGAGCAGCATTCACTCATTCACCACTCATTCACCACTCATTCATTCACTTATTCATTACTCATTCACCACTCATTCATCACTCATTCACCACTCATTCACCACTCATTCATCACTCATTCACCACTCATTCACCACTCATTCACCACTCATTCACCACTCATTCATCACTCATTTATCACTCATTCACCACTCATTCACCACTCATTCACCACTCATTCACCACTCATTTATCACTCATTCACCACTCATTCACCACTCATTCACCACTCATTCATCACTCATTCATCACTCATTCACCACTCATTCATCACTCATTCACCACTCATTCATCACTCATTCATCACTCATTCCACACGACAGCAGTCAGGGTCTAGCTGGTGAGGGTGGTCTTGAGGGGTGGTGGTGAGGGTGGTGGTGGTGATGAGGCTGGTGGTGAGGCTGGTGGTGAGGCTGTTGGTGAGGGTGTTGGTGAGGGTGGTGGTGAGGCTGTTGGTGAGGGTGGTGGTGAGTGTGGTGGTGAGGGTGGTGGTGAGGGTGGTGGTGAGGGTGTTGGTGAGGGTGGTGGTGAGTGTGGTGGTGAGGCTGTTGGTGAGGGTGGTGGTGAGGGTGGTGGTGAGGGTGGTGGTGAGGGTGTTGGTGAGGGTGGTGGTGAGTGTGTTGGTGAGGGTGGTGGTGAGGGTGGTGGTGAGGGTGGTGGTGAGGGTGGTGGTGAGGGTGGTGGTGAGTGTGGTGGTGAGGTTGGTGGTGAGGGTGGTGGTGAGGGTGGTGGTGAGTGTGGTGGTGAGGGTGGTGGTGAGGGTGGTGGTGAGGGTGGTGGTGAGTGTGGTGGTGAGGGTGGTGGTGAGGGTGGTGGTGAGGGTGTTGGTGAGGGTGGTGGTGAGTGTGTTGGTGAGGGTGGTGGTGAGGCTGTTGGTGAGGGTGTTGGTGAGGGTGTTGGTGAGGGTGGTGGTGAGGTTGGTGGTGAGGTTGGTGGTGAGGCTGTTGGTGAGGGTGGTGGTGAGTGTGGTGGTGAGGGTGGTGGTGAGGGTGTTGGTGAGGCTGGTGGTGAGGCTGTTGGTGAGGGTGGTGGTGAGTGTGGTGGTGAGGGTGGTGGTGAGGGTGTTGGTGAGGCTGGTGGTGAGACTGGTGGTGAGGGTGGTGGTGAGGGTGGTGGTGAGGATGGTGGTGAGGCTGGTGGTGAGTGTCATCGTCGTCGTCATTGATGGATTATCGATTGGATCACACAGACACAGACAAAGACAAAGACCCCCCCCCCGTATAGCCTTAACAGACTGCTGGGGCAAGTGCTGTTAGCGAGCAACGCTCACACACACACACTCACACTTACACACCCATTCACATTCACTTACTTTCACTCACACACTCACGCTCACACTCACTCACACTCACTCACACACACACTCACACACCCACTCACTCACACACACTCAGACTCATTCACACGCACACACACTCACTCGCACTCACACACCCACACACTTACTCACACACACCCACTCACACTCACTCGCACCCACTCACTCACTCACACAGACACTCACACACACCCACTCACACTCACTCGCACCCATTCACTTACGCTCACTCACACACCCACTCACTTTCACTCACTCACCCACTCACACTCACTTACAAGCAACCACTCACACACACTCACACACCCACTCACACTCACTCGCACCCATTCACTCACACACACTCACACACCCACTCACTTTCACTCACTCACAGACCCACTCACACTCACTCGCACTAACTCACTCACACAGACACTCACACCCACTCACACACCCACTCACTTTCACTCACACTCACATGCAACCACTCACACACACTCACTCACACACCCACTCACTTTCACTCACACACCCACTCACACTCACTTACATGCAACCACTCACACACACTCACACACCCACTCACTTTCACTCACTCACTCACACACTCACTCACACACCCACTCACACTCACTCGCACTCACTCACACATACACTCACACAGACACTCACTCACACTCACTCGCACTCACTTACACTCACACAGACACTCACACACACTCACACACCCACTCACTTTCACTCACACACCCACTCACACTCACTCGAACCCACACACACAGACACTCACACAGACACTCACTCACACTCACTCGCACTTACTCACACAGACACTCACACAGACACTCAACTCACACTCACTCACACCCACTCACTCACGCTCACTCACACACCCACTCACACTCACTCACATGCAACCACTCACACACACTCACACACCCACTCACTTTCACTCACACACCCACTCACACTCACTCGCACCCACACACACAGACACTCACTCACACACCCACTCACACTCACTCGCACTCACTCACACAGACACTCACTCGCACTCACTCACACAGACACTCACACTCGCGCGCGCTCACGCACACATATGAAGGGTCACGCAGACACAAAATCCCCTTCTAATTCCATGAGTTCATCGCAGCTCTCTCGGGGCGTCTCTGAAGGATGTTAAAACGAGAGAGAGAGACGAGAAAGATTCCACGCGCGTGTGTGTGCGTGTGTGTGTGCGTGTGTGTGTGCGTGTGCGTGTGTGCGTGTGTGTGTGTGCGTGTGTGTGCGCGCGTGTGTGTGCGTGTGTGTGTGCGCGTGTGTGTGCGCGTGTGCGTGTGTGCGCGTGTGTGTGTGCGTGTGTGTGTGCGTGTGTGCGTGTGTGTGCGTGTGTGTGTGCGCGTGTGTGTGTGTGTGCGTGTGTGTGCGCGTGTGTGCGTGTGTGTGCGTGTGTGTGTGCGTGTGTGCGTGTGTCTGCGTGTGTGTGTGCGCGTGTGTGTGTGTGTGCGTGTGTGTGCGCGTGTGGTGCGTGTGTGTGTGCGTGTGTGTGCGTGTGTGCGTGTGTGCGTGTGTGTGTGCGTGTGTGTGTGC